ATTGTATTGAATATATTAAATAATTGTAACCATAGCGTAAAATATTCTTAAACAATTCACCTTGTCTAGATATTACTGCAAACAGCAGAAAATTCAATAGTAACAAACAAAACATATAAATAAAGTAAGTAGCCTAAATTCATGTAATGTCACTTTACTGGAGGGATATAAATAGATGAGAATAAATCCCCAATTTAGGATGTACACTACGTTAGGTAATGTATAGAGCTAATGCTAATATTGTTTTTTGAATTTTTAAAATATTAATGTTTGATAATTGTTAATTGTTCAATAATAATACTTATAAAATTGAATAAATTATACAATGACAATTATTAAACTTATCATTATTGGTATTAATAATGTATGTAGCAATCACATAAGTGTCAATCTCTATTAAAAAGTCTAGATCTAATAAACACTCAAGTAAAGTTTAGATCTGTTAGGGCACTTTCAGGAAATATCTATATGTGCAAGTACAGCTAAACTTTAGAATATGATCTAAATGTATAAAATACAGGCTAAAATTTGGACTTTTCATTTTATTGTTGATATATACTATTACTAATATAAAAACCCTCATCTGTGTGTGTGTGAATTCCTTATAACTGCTGTAATTTTTGTCCAATCCAGATGAAATTTTCGTTATATTCATTTTATGTTCTGACAGAAAGTACAGATGATTTATTTTGTGGAAATATTAGCTATAGAATAAATGTTTTATCAATTTTGGATCGGTGATCGCACTTACATTGCAGTGATGTCAGTGATCTCGTTTAGTTCGTGCTTGATGAGGGAATTTCCCTTCAGTTGCATTTTAAAATATTTTTTAAAATGGCATATTTTAAACTTACTTCATTAAATTTAAACTTTAGAAAAAGATAGATGCATCGTGTCACTTCTAAAATACATTTTAAAAAAATCCATAGTGACCATGTGACATTCTATTATCAAATCGGAAGTAACTATCTAATCAGCCCATTATTTAGGAAGTGTTATTACTCATTTAACTAACATACTGTACATAAGATTCATCTTTGTTTTATCAACATGGAATAAAAAAGACTCGTTATTTAGTCCAAAAAATGCTTAGGAGAAAGTGTAAGAGTAAAATTGATCAGATTAATTCTAGATCTAAAAGAATAAGAACAAAAGAGACTCCAGAATGCCACAAAGTCTGAGTTGAGTAACATCGAATAAGAATGGTTTTGTCAAAAGCTGCAGAAACATCATCACGTCAAGCTCAACTTGAAGCTCTTCTCAATTCTTCGATCTCTACTTTCTCATTAAAAGCATTCCGTCATGCTTGACGGGGAAATTTCTAGTACAGTATAGTTAATATTCAGTACCACAATCAGAAATCAGATGTTATCTGATCTTTTTATTACAATATATTATTCTACATCAGACATTTGGATTTGTCATGTTCTGAGCTAATTTCAGTTTCTGCTGATAGCAAAAGTGATTGTATTTGTTATCAGGATGAAATGCCAAAATACAGACATTTCCTAACAAATCTGGTATATTTGTTACTAATATTAATAAATTTAAATTAAAATTTATTCTCTCGGATAAGTATACAAACCAAATATTCTGTTTGTTCTTCATTCTGAATCCAGTGCACACCTGTTATTAGTTCACGATGTGCCTGTAAGTCCACCAACTGCATATCGTCATCTTTGCCAATATCCCATATAACAATTTCACCTTAAAATATTTAAAAAACAAATAATGATCTCTATTCATATTAAATATTTTTCTACAATTTATATTCTTACCATTAAACTTTCCAGCAGCCAAAACAGCAGGTTTTTCTGGATGGAATGCTATTGCTGTGACACAAGAATCAGTTTCAATTGTCAGATTAGGCTTATTTGGAACAAAATCTTTTCTTTGAACATTCCAAATTGCGACATTAGATTCGTGACTGCACCAGTCGGAATGAGATGTAGCACCATANGCAAGCATGTTTGGCAGTACCTATGTATGCGAACAAGTGTTTTCGCTTATGAATTTAAACAAGTGCAAAACACGGAACAGGTTAACCAAAGAGAATTTGGAAAATCTGGTTGTTTCAACATCTGCCATTACACCAGACATCAAGAAGATTGCTGCCAGCATCCAATCTCAGCCATCTCATTAATCGCTTGGAGGTCCGGCCCCCAGTCAGTAAACTTAACCCTAATTTGGCCCTTCTTCACAAAAGGTTGTGCATCCCTGCATAAAGGAACCAATCTACCTCTAGAAATTTCCGACTTTCTCAAAGGCTCCATCTGCCCCTGGGTATGCAAATTTATACTTTAAACCAAAACAGAATTTGACATTTCAAAGTAATTTTTCACTCTACTTGGAATTATATGAAGTTTGAAAGAAGCAGTTAAGTTTTAAAATCATTTGTTAACTTTTAATGAAACTAAAAACAATCTATTAAAAATATAAGTTTAACTTGCAGATTATTATGGGATATAGTAAAGCCAATTTTTACAATATAAATATCAAACTGTTCTAAAACTAGGCAGAGAGATCAAAACTCAGGCATTTCTATAATTATACCCTAGCTGTTACATCATAACAGACAAACAATATTCAAGAATTACATATTAATAATTACCAGTTATCTATCTGACTGTTCTGGAGAAAATTTTTGAATTGAAATCATGTGACTTCCAGTCCAAACCAGTAGTTTATATATAATTAATTCTCCTAATTTCTGGTCTTGACTTTTATCTATCTAACTCAATTCTTGAGATTATGAGAGAACAGACAGATGGATGCTAGTGGGAATTTACAAGTCTGCAATTTTGAAATTTTAGCCCAATATATATTATTAAATCTTCAACTTATGTAACTTTTAATTATTTAGCAGGTCATTTTAATATCAGAGTCAATAAAATTAGATTTTTCACCTACTGTATTCTTAGTTTCTTACCTTGCTTAATGTTATCAATGTAGGTGAGCCCCATTAATGTAAAGCAGAATATGCTTAATGTGAATACATTAAGCATATTCTTCTTTACATTAATTATTATAACATTTACTGTACATGTTAAAAAGGATATGCAACAGCTAAGACAGTTCCAGTTGAATTCCACGAAGCATCTAAACACTGAAACTGAAAAAAAGCTAAAAATTCAATAATGAGTTAAATAATAATACATTTTTTTTATTAACTCTCAAAAATTCTGCCATCAACCAAATACAGTCGATTCTGTTTAATTGGACCACCGGTTAATCGGAGCAGCTGCTTTATTGGGCCAAATCCCAAAGAACAGTAACCAAACTAATAAATTAATACATAATTTAATCGCTTAATTGGGGCAGTAGCAGAAAAGAAATTTAAAAAGTTTTGATATGTTTTAGGGATCTTTTGAAAATATGTAGACACTACATACACTAATGTCATGTAGGCCTAATGATTGGCAGAGACAAAATGATTTTATCTTTCACTCGGCAGTTCAGTTTTTCTGGAGGGGGGTCACCATAGCGGAAATATAACAGGGGGATCCCATCTGAGATGGACCAGAATGCGAGCTACTGACCTTACTCTGGACTGGACCAGACAATCCATTTAAAAGTGAAGGGGCAAAGATCCCTGGACAAGTTTTCAAGGTCTCTCTACTGAGTTGGAAGACAGCTAGTGTTTCCTCGAAAAGTATTGTGTGCATAATTATGTCTAGATTCAAACAGCAGCCATCCGATCGTTGAGACCAGCATCCGGAGCTGAAAGATTTTATGGACACTCGTGCCGAAGTGGCCCATCTCCAAGTAAAGGAAACTGTGCTCAAAGGAAGACCGAAAAATGACTTTTGGATGAACCCTTTCCTTTCTCCCTTTTTAGTTAGAAAAATCATTCGATCAGGAACGAATCAAACAGTCAACCCTTGTGTACGTCACTACTAATATTTGGCAACACTAGCGTGATGAGAATCAGTTATCTATCATTGTGAGTCTGCCAAATTTACAGTACAAATATTTTATGTATTTTGGTTTAATAAAGCATTAAAATAGGTACCTAATTATTATTTTTACCTACGTATTACATATTTTATTTTAGAATTTATTATTAGCTCATTTAATTGGGACTTCTGCTTAATTGGGCCAAAATGCATTGATTACTCCCAACGTGTTCCAATTAAGCAGAATCGACTGTATATGATAAATTTTAAAAGCTCTTAAGTAATCTACATAATATTCATCTACAGAAATTATGAAGCAAGCAATTTCATTGAAAATTTCTATCACATACATATACGTTCATATATATTGTATATCAAAGTATCAAAATAATAATTAATAAATGCTACTAAAAATATTCATACGTAATAATTCTTTCAATAGTTCTACATTTTATTTCAATTGATTTTACGAAAACACAAATTTAACTTACTTCCGAAGGAATTTTGTACGTAAGTGTATAAATAATACGAGTCGAACTCTGTTCTTCGTCTCTTAACAATCTATAGTTATCAAAAGCATTTGTGTGAGAATTCTTTTCTAAATATTTACAAACTACAGGAGCTACTCTCTGAAGAAAACCACTTAATGAATCATAATCAATATCGACTTCTTTCAACCGTTTGATCGTACAAGGATCGGTTTGAACCTAAAAAAATATAAAAATTATGTGAAATACAATATTTTTGAAATCGTAAAAATTTTGTTTTAATTAATATAATCTCAGAAATTTTTTTACAAAATATAATAGATCTTATTAATTACCATAACACTATTCATTTCTTTAGTTTGAGTCATTGATTCTACAGATGAAATGGGATTAGTCTGAATTCCGTTTTCACTTATTGTTCTAAATAAAACAAAAATCTTATCATAAGTATTCCTCATTTGATCATGTTAATTTTATTTACAAACATTTATATTAAAATTACACAATAATTGAAAAGAAAGAAGTTATCTTTCATAAAAATTAAAATATAATTCTTTTACATTTTATTCAACTTAATAAACCTATACAAAATTAGAAAATTTTAAATTACAAATTACAAAGTTATAAATTAAATTACAAAAAATGTAATTTAATTTATAACTTTATATACAATTTAAAGATTTCTTCTATGCTCTTTCCTTTGTTTTCATCAACCCAACCCCAATTAAATGTTTGTTTATATTTCTATAAAGTCCAAACACTATTATCAAATAAATTATTGTTCTTCACTGACCACTTGATAATTGTATTAATTCCACATGTTAACAAAGAATATAACCTTTTTCTCAAAATACAACTGCAAAATTCCATGAAATGTGAATGTCACTAATTCTAAAGTAGCCACTGAATAGCCAATATTTTTGAATTAAAATTTAACTACAAATATAAATAATCACTATTGGTACATAGTTAGTATGTATATGAATTTGCACATATATTAAGTTGTAATATACATGTAATCAGAGATGTAGTAATGCATCGGCAACAGGGCAAATACCAAAGGCACAAGCACAAGGAGCACGAGGGCACTGAGTGCCCTGCAAACATATTATTTATATTAAAAAAACTAATGCATCGCCAAGGGCACCAAAAACATTGCTACAGCTCTGCATGTAATAATAAGACATTGTCTGGTAGTAAGTTTTTATATTTTTTGTAATACAGACATTATTTTGTTAGATTGTATTGTAAATTTTCTTTTGTTCTGAATGTGTTAAAAGATTTTTAATAGATTAATTTGTAGTAATGTGTTACGAGTTGTGAATAACTCACCCCAGAGTCCGTAAAACTCGTCATTTTTGATAAATTGTCACCTTCCAGTCCACATTAAGTAAAGTTTGTGGGGCTTACTGTATTTTGTAAAATTAAATTTCCAATTGCACAAAATAAAATTTAGAATTTTAACAATGTTTCATGCCTAAACTAACGATCTTATTCTTAAATACCAATTGTTTGAGCAAATATTAGTGTTTTAAAATTGTTATTTTCTGAATTTTTAGATTTCTAACATTTAAAAACGTAACATATGTGATTTAACAACTTACCAAGTTATCGCCTGATCAAATTTATGAGTCTGTCTAAATTGGTATATACTTATTTAGAATCAAACATTCAAATTGAATAAATTTCCCTACAAAGTTTAAATCGCATATTAGCATTTTCATTGCTGATAGTAACCATTTAATCAATGTATTGACTATTTTCATTCCAAAGTAAGATACAAATGAAAAATGAGAAAACCTAAAGATTTTGTTGATAAGAAAAAAGGTACTCATCATAAAGACTAGAAAAAATCAGAAATTGTGAAAGAATTTAATATTCTCTTTCTCTCTGAATATCTGAAAAACAAGAAGACCCAAGAAATAACTTCACAACAAATTAGACTAGAAAGTAATACTAATAAAAACCTCATTCAACTTAGAGCCATTTTTGTTTCCATTATTATTTAATGATAAACAAAAGTTTAAAGACAAACGTTTTCGATCTAGTCGAGATCTTCCTCGGGTCTAAGTCAAATGTAATGCGTTTCGAAATGTTAACGTATTTTGAAAAAATGAAAATCCTGATGTTAATAACTTCAATGGAAAAATAAAAATCAATCAATCAAATCATTTTTCAATGTTTTCAAATATAAAAATTTTAAAAGTTTGAAAAATAAATGATTTAGAATGGTTGTTCCTTACAACGATGCATGCTCCTAAAATATTTATTTCTGCATTAGAAAATATCATATTATTCAATAATAATCCAAAAATAATTTACATTCGACCTCCCTATAACACTGTTGATAATTCCGTTTTATATGAATTCCACGTTGTACGAGTCACTTAGATGTTACAAATACGTAAGCCGTTCACAGCCCGGCACACGTATTTGTGAAATCTAAGTGACTCGTACAACGTGGAATTCATAAAAAACGGAATTATAAACAGTGTTATAGGGGAATCGACTGGGTTAAAGTCCAGATACGTATACCGTCATGGCAGCTCATCTCTGATTCCAGCAAACAGTGGGGACGCACGTTCTAACCTATTCAAACCTATTCAAATAATTTGGTTGGTAATAATTATGGTAATTTATTAGAATAGATTAGGTTAGGTTAGAACGTGCGTCCCCACTGTTTCCTTTCTTTTGTTTGCTGGAATCAGAGATGAGCCGCCATGACGGTGCACGCATCTGGACTTTAACCATCGACTGTATATACATTTAGAATAATAATACAAACCTTTCTGTTTTCCACGATGATGGAAAATCCGAACTCTGTCCTTCACCGTCTTGAAACATCTTTCTTTCTGATGTTAATTCAAGCAATTCTTTTATATTTTAATAGCAAAAAAGACCATCCTTCTCACTAACTGCTTCTAATCAATAAAACCGGCATGGGAGTCGCCATCTTGGTTTACAATACAGCAGCGCCACCTAAAGTATAATATAATAATAATATTATTAAATATCTTTTCTGAATAACACTGTAATAAGATATATGTATATATATATATATATATATAGTATGTATATAATAATATAATATTATTATATAAAATCAGTCTATCATCAGCCGGCTGCTACATTAAGGATGTGAAGAATTCGTGATAAGCACGCGAAAATCTTTACGGTGAAAAATTAAAAAAAACTATTTGATATTATCTGTAGTCTTTCCCAAAATAAGAATGAAATTAATGTTAAAAAATAAGCATAACCATTAACTTAGCCCGAGGAGGAACGATAATCTCCCTTCGTTTAAAATTCAGCCCGTAGCGGACACCGAGCGAATTACTCGCGCCATATTGTGGAATCCGTGAGAATATACTACAGTTTTTACGTTTTTAACTACTGTAGCCCGAAATTTTTGTTATAGCTACTTGCTCGGCGTATGATTGCGATGCTGTAGCATTTTGTAACCCTCATTTGCATCAACAGCATTTGCAGAGTTGTGAAGCAATTTTAGAATTTATCCAAGTGATGAATATATTGTTTGATATGCTCAATTCAAAAAATAAGTAGACTTGGTTGAAAGATCCTTTAAATGTCAACAAGAATGAAAATATTCTTGAATAAAGCAAATGAATATATTGGTAACTTGAAAATAGGTCCAGATGGGAAAGATTTAATTCATTATTACGTTCCATTGAGAATGCGCCAATATGCAAAACAAGAAATCATTTGCTTGAGTTGGAAAGCAAGAAAAAGAAATGGAGAAATGACTGAAAACAGAAAATGTCTAATCTCTAATTACTCTATCTTTCTCTGCAAACTTTTCATTTTTACTTTATAATTATGTTTACATATTGCGCCAATTGGCGAATTCTAGGCTGTGAAATGAATGCGGACGGGTTTTATTGCATAAGGTTTTTAAAGCTCCTTCGCCTTCCTTACATTGTAATATCGATATTACAATACCACCATCACCACCATCTGATCTCACACGATTTTCGTGGACCATATTGATTCCCCGCTTCCTCCAGATTCTATTCCGACAACAATCATTCTGTACTTGAACTCGTATTAGGTATTAGTTGGACGATCATACTTATTCTTTGGACACGAGTGTTCTTTTGTTTTGTTTTTTTTTTAACTCTTTCTGCCCTGTGGGCACTAAGAGGGTTTCTTTTTGCAAGTCCATTATAGGTTCGGCCAGGCCGACAATGGAGCGGCCGGGTGGCGAGGGAGGAAACACGATATATCCGGACGGACCACGCCCGAAAAATTCCTGGAGATTTATCGACAACGTCCGGATTCGAACCAGGGGTCCCCGAGCGGTGCGCTGCCCCCTTGACCGTTCGGCCATCCGGCCGTCAAATGTTTACACTGTTATAATAAACTTGGAATTTTAGGCATTTCTGCAATATATTGAAATTATTTAAAAGCATGATGTCTTATAACTTGAGTTTGAATTTTCGAATATTTTAGCTACTGATAAACATTCAGGATCTATCACGTAGACTCCAATTTTATTCTGGGAGTCATTCCTACTTCTAAGCCCACGTGACCGCTCGACCATTCCGCCATTTCGAATAATATTAAACGCGCTTTGCTATACATCTCAATTTTTTATTAACTTACTTTTTTTTATTTCAAACGACTTTAAAACAATTTTAAAGAAATTCTTTAAAAAATAAAAATTAAAATGATAATAAAATTATAATTATATTTCTCTGTTAACACTAGGGGGCGAAGGATATAAAACAGTAAAAATGCAACATGGCGATGTGGTGTGCATCTAAAGCGTTGTCAAACGGAGGACTCGTTCGGATTCCTCTGCTTGTCGTGCAGAGATGGAGACGTAAATCACCAGCCAGGAAACCGCGATGGCTTCCCATGGCTCCGAGTAAATTATTTAGGATAAATAACCCTCCCGACATACCTAAAGAAGAATTCGAGCAGATCTTCACACTGTACCACGTGTATAAATGCAACATGAGATCCATTCAGTATGTTTTTTTTTTTTTCTTGAATTTAAAAGCTGTTTTTGGAAATTATTAAAGCATAAATTTACAGGAATTTCTTACACGAAGAGCATAAGAAGGCGACGCAGGTTGGTGAAGAAGTCGTAGAAAGAGCAAAACAAGAAGAATTGGAGCACCAACGTCTTATGGAAGAAAATAGATTAGAAAATGAAAGAATGCTAAAATTAAGGTATATATTCTTGTTTATTTGTAGAACGAAAGGTAAGATTCGACCTCTGAATGAGGGGTTTCGCACCCCTAGATTCTATACGAGCAAAAAAATCAAAGGAACCATAGCTGTATGTGCAACTCTTCGTGATATATTCGCTTCCAAATGTCAGTTTTTAATATATATTGGTATACTGCCTATTCTCCGTGTCGTCGAGGCAAGCTTTGACCGACGCTTTGTATGTAGTGCGCTTTGGTGCCCGGATAAGTGCAAGCCCCCCACATGCCTCTGAAACTATATAACAGAGTACTCCATGACATGGTCAAATGGGCTACTCGAAGCTGGCATAGTTGTGTGGTCTAAACGGTTAAATGCAATAGTCTTGGCGGAGCCACGACTTACAATCTCGTGCAACTCTATTTTGGGGCCGTATCTGGTCAATGGCGGCTTGTAGAGGTATGGTTCCTTTGACTTTTTGCTCCTATAGGTGTGCTCTACGGCTCCGATAATGTCCCGACCGTATCTTTTGGAGCTTGAATTGAGCCAAATGAAATTTATGCAACACGGTTGTGTGGATTTTTATTGATATAAAATCAATCGTCAATTCTTACACATTTCACTACATTTCTATGTTAGATCATAGAAAAAAACAAAAAATATAAGACAGTTCTGTGTCAAAAACACAGCTCGATAGTTCTGAATAAATTAATTGGTTGAACCAATAATGGTACGATGCACAAACATTATTCTACTTACTTGGATGAAAAGTGTTTGACAGTTTGTTATGAAATTACATACGTTTTTCCTCTTCTACTGGTTACATTGTCGAAAAAACTTTCCTTTTTGCTGAAATCATGCCTGTTGCATCCTATATCGTTTCAGAAGTCACTTTGAGTCTAAACAAAATGCTGAATATACAGTTTAGTCAGGCAACACAAATTTATGGTTAATCGGGCTTCGGGAATTGAAAAATGCAATGTCGTCGACTTCATCCTTGATTTTTGTCGACACATTTTTTATTGGTTTTTGTTTTGCCTGGGCTCACTTGTATAGATAACTGCCTTTTTTACTTGTAATTCATACATGACAATCAATTCTGGGTATCTATCTGTGGTTTCAACAAAATTACAACAATAATTCACACACTTTCCTTCTAGTCAGAGGTCAAAAAATGCAGAAGGAAATGAGAAAAAAAATATTTTTGCATTTTTAAGTCTGTGACTAATGGTAGAAATGATGATGATAACTGTTTGGCTAAGGACATCACGAAGGGTTGGGTGAGGGGAGAGCACGCAGCATGCACTATTTGTTCAAATTGTTGAAGGCAACCACTGCTGGCCGTCCCTGAAATATTTACACCAGTCAAACATTACCACATGCATTGATTCATCCTTTTCTTATGCCACCTTCATCATTTCATAGGTTTCTGTTACAGTTTTGCCAAGCTTGTAATAAAATTTGATATGTGCTTGTTTCGTTGCAAAACAAAATACGTTCTTGTCTACTACTAATCTGGTACTGAGAAACTTGCACACGAGGATTCATACAAACTATTTTGGCCTTCAATTAATAGATGGTGCAAATGGACATTGAAGTTTTAAGTAAAATAATAATTATGATACATAAAAGAAAGTAAAAATATATTCAAATGTCAAGATTCTTGAATATCTCCTTGCCTGTCCTGTGAGCACTAAGAGGAACATTTGGCCAGGTGGTGAGGGACAAGGTCTGATATATCTGGGACAGACTATCCACAAAAATTCCCAGGAGTTGTTGCCAAAATTCAGTCTTGGATCCTTAAGCCTGGACTCCACATTACCGGAATCTGCGACGTAATCGTAAAACTGAAAGCCAAACTGACGAAACTTTCAGTTGGACAGAAACAAGACTGAAAGCAGAGTTAAAAATTATTTAACTTTTCCGTTTTCGTCCCGCGCTTGTCTTACTGCAACCAATAAAAACGCAAGGATTTGTGATGCATAGTCACGTGTAGTTTGATTGTCATAATGGCAGAAAGTGTAGCGAAAACGATGAGGAAACAAATAGATTTGGAATTCTTCATCGAAGAAGTTAGAAAATACACATGTCTGTACAACAAAAAATGTAAACAATTCAAATATTATTAACAATGAAATTGTTAATAGTATTTGTTAATAATTTATTAACAATGAAATTGTTAATAAATGCAGAGAAATCTTGGCAAAATCCGTAGCGTCGTCCATGTTTGACTCTACGACAATTACAGAACTGATCAACAGATGGCGCATTTCTAGTGGTGTCAAGTTAAAACGAAAACTCTATATGTTTCAGTTCTGTTTCTGAGTTTCTGTTTTCAGGTAATGTGGAGTCCAGGCTTTAGAGTGGTAGGCCAATACAGTAACCACATTGATTCTTGTTAAGAGCACTATAGTTTTGTTTTGTTTTGTTTTGTTTTTTTGTACTTCCCATTATATTAATTAGCTTGTTGTTGTTGTTAGAAATGAAAGGCTAGAAAAAAATTTACAGAAGGAAATTGACGACTTACTTCAAATAGAACTTGATGTTGAACAGCAAAAGTTAGAAGAAAAAGAAGAGGCAGAAAAGCTTGTTTTGAGAGAGATGGTTTGTATAAGTTTATACTGTCGTAATACAACAAATTAGTGTTTGATGATTATTTTGTAATATTTTTACATTTTATTTATAGGAATTATCGAAATCATTCATCCGCGAAGATACATTAGACGAAGCCATAGCGCAAGCTTTAGATAATCCAGTCAATTATAATTTTGCAATAGATTTGAAGGGTAATATTTATTGGGAAGATGAAAAGATCATTCCATCAAATGTCAAAATATATGTAGATAAATCCGAAGAAGAAATTTATTAATTGTAGATGTTACGACTTAGCATAATACAGTAATTCATTTATTCAAATATCTATTCTTGAAAACATTTTTTATTACTTTTATTACAGAAAGAAAAAAATGAATACCACCATAAAATTCATATAAAAAAATAATTTCTCCATGCTACACCAACATACATATGAAGATATTAAATCTTTTGTTTAAAAAAAATCTTCTCGACAGAAGAATTAAGATGAATACAGAAAGACTACTTCCATTTTAAAGATTAAAATCCAAAAATGAAGTTTTAATGGCTGTTAGGTTATTTTAAATACAATTCATACAAAATTGTTAAAGCTAAATGAAATTTTAAATATACGATCCGACACTCATGGTAATTTTTGCCTTCTCAAGACTACATAAACAATCTCAAGTTCTTAAACATTACAATAATGTTAAAAACACCAATGAAATTTTCTTAATTGCACAATTTCATCACCAATAAACATTCCAAGTCAACAATCTTGCGTTAGTTCCATATTAGTTTTTCACACCTAAACACTTAAAATAAATATAAGTATCAGATTCAGATATAAAGTACATAAATATTTTAAAAATTTGTACTAGCTTTTATTCAAAATGAAAAATAAAGATTGAATATATTCATTAATTAATTATAACACGAGCAGAAACAGTATATTGCTTTGGTAAAAATAATTTATATGACAAATTGTTAAGAAAGTTCGGATAGTCAATATAACAAAGAAAAAGTAATATTTAAATTATTTTATGGTAGTAAACCTGTTAAATGACATAATTCAGTTACATTAAGTCCATAAAGTTTATAAAATTTGATAATTTAAAAATTTAGCTGCCTAATGCTACTTTTTGAGAATATAAATGTTCCAGTTTCACTCTCATTTTTTCATATTTAAAAACTAATCACACAGCAATTTCCACGTAATCTTTTTCATTAATTTACAATATTAACTACTAAAATTTTGTTAAAATTGTGCAATTTTATATGGAATACATATTTTGTGCATGACAATTTTTAATTGTTTAAAAATTACACACTAAATTGTTTAAAAAATTTTCGAGTTACGAGAAAATGCAATGCTCTTAGAAAATTCACGACAAAGTTACCATTACAGGAGATATATGGAACGAGTCAAAATGCTAAAATGTTAATTATAAACATTTGATTCGCGTCTAAACATTAAAACCCATATTTATTTAACTGCTGCTTATTATTCAAAAATACTGCAAATTAAATGTTGGCACCTTTATAGTAGGAGAATAAAATGAAATTTTATTTTGCATATTTCTCGCCAATAATTGTTGAATAATCTAATTTAATTTTTATCTTAATAAATATGTAGAAATTAAATTAGGATATAGTATTTGGTTTCCTTTTCATTCAAATGTTCTAATTATTGGAATGGTTTCTACATATAATATATACTAAAATTTTTGTCAAAAGTATGATATTCAAGTGATTTTATGTAAGTAAATTGCCAAAGAAATTAAAAATTTTCAATCATATTTTACAAGTCACATTACAAGACAAGATAGTAATTTTAGTATATTAATACTTAACTATACAATTATTCAAAACATTCATTAAAATTTCACATCACAGTTATTAACATTCACTCTATCTTATTATCTAATCTAATGCTCTTAAAATTTTAACAAAAAGAATAAAAGTTTTCAAAGGTAAAAAGTAAGTAGTTTTGATTTATCACATTCCCAAGCTAATCTTAATCAAATTCCGTTTCCTGTCAACAACAGCAAAGCAACACAACTATATAACAACAGATACGAATAAACAAATATAGCGTTGCCATTATACATCATTTAAATAACTTTCATCATCGATTACTATTACACAACTATATTTACAAAATAATTTTCTATGCCAAGAACTGGAAGAACTTTTGGTTTAGAATATGGAAGATGCAAAGAAATCATTTTTCACAACTGGATTCTTTTGATAAATATCTAAAAATATAAGTAGATAAATGAGTTATCTTCTAAGTTATTCGTAAAAATGTACATCATTGGTAAAATTATAAACTTGATTTTTGATCTCGTTGTATCACTAATGAAAAAAACGCTTTCGATTCTACAGACAATGTCAATATCACAGTCTACACAAATATAATAATTTACATATTGGTCCCAGTTAATTTCATTGCAAAGACTCCGAGTAAATTACTCGATCAAATGCAAAAATTTATAGTTTTCACTGCACAATGTAATCTTTGTAGCCTCTTAATAATTTCAGATGCTTTTTGAGTTGTTTCACTAAGTCGACGGGCTGCACCAAAATAGATATGTCTCGACCCACTGCGTTTAACCTGTCGGATATCTGAAATAATAAATGGTCGAAATTTTTATCGGAAGAAAGTAACCTAATGGCATCAAAATGACTTCTTTACAAACCTCATTATCTTTGAAAAAAAGATTTAAAGGCCTATGGTTGATTTCTGTCAGGACCCAATTACACGAACCGCTTCCGTCGACCGTCGGAGCTTTTGCGGGCAAACCGTGCTTAAATGCTAATCCATCTGGCTTTACTTCTTTAATCTACAACCAAAAAAATTGCTGAATAAAAGCATAAAAAGTAAATATTTTCTATTGTGAATATATAATATTTCATTGTTTTATATGCTTGACTTTTAACACAAAGTATCACACATTTGTTTATCCTTCATATGTGTTAAATTTTGGAATAAAGTGTCTAAAAATCCAAGTGCCTATTGTTTATGAAGCATATATAAATCTCAAAAATATCCCAATAAGGAAAAAAATCTTTTGACAATAAACTTAATATTCTGTTACAAATAAATAATCTGTAATTCTCGTATTAGCAATTTATTTCTCGAATTGCTTTAAAATGAAAATAAAACAAATTTCACTTTCTTATAAAATTTGGATCCTAATAAGTCTAGAAAATGAAGAAGTGTCCAATTCAAGATCAGTTAGGTAGAGGATTTAATTAAATATATAGCTAGTTCTTAATAAATCCTATAAACTTTATATTAATAATTATTCTCATATACATTAGTTTCTTTCCCAATTAATAAAATTTAAATGATAAATTGTATAAATTAATTATGTATGTGACTACAATTAATAAAAAAGTGTTTCGTTTGACTGCTAAAATTCATCATTTTTTTAGGTGGGACAAAATCTAAAATGGTAAAGTTGCCAAATTAATCTATGGAATTTTTCTATAAAATGACAGATCCCATTTATTTCAGAATTTCTTACAAATTCAAGAGATTTAACATTGTACATTGATAGTAAAATTAAATATAATACAGCTTTTAGTTAATTGTATATTTTAAAAAAATTAAAATTTACGTAAATGTTTAAATATTTTTGTAATATTAAAATCTACAATAATTAAAAATATATGTAAGTTTAATAACAATTTTACTAATAAAACATTCTGAAAAAATGATCATTATTATACACAACTACAAGGACCATAGAAATGTATATTTCAGTTAATTTTTTAAAGTAAATTACATTTACTTAAAAAACTAACAGCTTATGCAAAATTTATTATTATTATTTTTATTTTTAACTGCTTTGTGGGCACTAAGAGGGCCTTTTCTTTAGCAATGGGTCTGGCCAGGCCCACAATGGGTAGTGAGAGATGGGGCCCAACATATCAGGATGGTCCATCCCCCTAAAAATTCCTAGGGTTTTCAATCCTAGATCTTCCAGAGTGGTAGGTTGCACCTTAAATATGTATGCAGTTGAGTCCATCTTATTATAGTTAAAAATTAATAAAGCGTTGAAATACCTCTGCTGTATTTCCTTCTCGAATAAGCCCAAGATCTTGTCCATCGTATTGTCTTTTAATAGCAAGTACACATCCATGAGGAACTCTATGCACTACAAATTCTACCTAAAAAATTTTAATACAAAGAAATTTACTTAAAATTAATATAATAAATTGTCTAAAAGATTATTTGTAATGCAGAGGCAACATGGAGTTTGTCTCTACCAATACAAAAGCAAAGCCTAATTAAAGCAAGCAGAAGTCAGACGAATTAAATAAATTTGATGTTCTAATATTATTCAATAAAAATTATGTTGAGGAATTATAAATCAGCTATAGATATACGGTATAGACTGTATATCTATAGCTGCTTTAAATGGCAGAATTGTTTGTAGAAAACTAGTGCAAATCAATACTTGTATATCTACAGATGGACAAAGACTCATCAGTTTAATTAATAAATTTTTAAAATACAAATATTCTCAACAATACCAATACAATAAAGTCATATTTTATACACATTTACATAATTTTTTATATTAAGCTATTTCAAAATCTCATTTTATGTACAAAATTTGAAATATGAATCCCAAAAGCTTTGATAAGAATAGCAAATTTAAAAATTAATGTGTATTTATGCTCTTATAGTATTTTGGTGTGCTACTTTAGCCTCTAAACATTCATGTTGTTATAATTAAAATCTTTTTCATATCTCATAACAATGGTACGTTCATAAAATCGAACAAGTTAAACGAGAATGACATCATCGTTATTCTTATTTTGTTAGACTTTTCGAACGATTCGTTTATAACTAAATGGCTGTTTCTAAAATCGAAGATACGAATGTTGCTAGTACAGCCTTATCCGAAATATTTTTCTTAGACTGTTTCGGGTGAACAGTTACTTCAATCATTTCACCTTTTAATTCACAATTTAAACACTCGAGTAGATTTAGAAACATCGATATCGTTGGGCGCCATTTTCTTAACAAAGTAAACTAACTCTTTCCTTTGTAAACTTCGTTAGAGTTTCATTTGAAATGTCATCACTGCAGAGAATGCGCACTGAGCGATACTACTACTTTTCGAACAATTCATTACTAACGCATTTAACTTGTGTGACTTTACGAATGTACCCAATATCATCAAAAATTTCACTGAACACCTTCAAGTGTGCTAGTGCTAGTGCTTGTGAGAAAAACACACTCAAAAATCAACAACTTTAAGTTCAACGTAAGGAGAGATTGTACTGTACATTCTAATTTGGCACCTATTAGATCTATTGTTCCTTCAGTGCTGACAGACTATGATTATGATTAAGAGTCTGATTTATTTGCACAGGGCTTAAAGCAGTCATGGCGGTGAATATAAGTGAGAAAAGAGAGTCCACACTGAAAAAAAGCTAATAGTGTTAAAGTGAAGTAAAAGAACTTTATAAAAAAACACACATATTTTGTACCAATAACATTGCATATGATATTAGATTGATTATTAATTGGACTGAAAAAATTCAAAGACTTCTTTATCTACATGGCAAGGTAAAATTTTTGTTAAATAAAGATTTTATTGATAAAATAAATGCTGAATTATTTCATGCACCTTGTAGTAGTAAAATTATTTTTGCTGTGTACAATATATAAATATTTCACAGAATTATAATAATAAATTATTAAACTCACTATTAACGGTTGATGTTTGATGGCTTTCTGGGCTTCTTGTACATTGTGTATTCTATGGCCTGCAATGCTAATGATACAATCACCAATGTGAAAAGTATTATGAAGTAAAGGATGTTCTTTTTGTTTCCATCCTGCTACCCTTAAAAATCAAATCGAATATATAAATTTAAAAATAAAACAAAAACATAACTTTTCTATAATTTATATATTTTAAACCATTTTTATATTATTTTACTTAATTTTTCATAAGTTGATACCTGTTTATAATCAAAACTGAACACCTTCAAACTTTTCCATCTTTATTCAAAAGAAATTTCTAAAAGCAATTTAATTTGTTGATTTAAATATTGCTTTTCTTAAATACAAATCAGTTATGGGTAATTTTCTCTCAAATTTCTTACACAAAATAATAAATATAATAATAATAGTAAATGACTAAGATCAAATTAACTTTTTACTGCATTAATTTATTTATTACTTTCGAATTATTTGAAATTTTGTTTGAGTCACAGCAAAGATGTTTAAAAGGTAATTAATAACATGTTAATAATACGACCAATACAATACTTTCCTCACTTATTTCTAGCCGTTTATACACGAGTACGAACATTTCTGGCCTTTGTAATAGGCCTTCTTCAGGTACGCAGAAGGCCGAAAATGTTCGTACTCGTGTATAAATGGTTAGAAATAAGTGACGAAGGTGTTGTACTAAACATCTTAAAATAGTTCTAGCTACAAATGCATAGAACTGTTAAAAATATGCAAAACTATATTATGATCCTGTAGAAATACTCTTTGAAGTGTTTCAATTGAGATTTTTTGATAGAGTTATGTGCATTGGATCAATATGTAATGTTCAGCTTTAAATTATGAACAATTTTGAGAAAACAAGCGATTAATATCTAAAGATTATCATTTGTAATATACAGTAAATGTTGAAATAAAAAATTTTGTATTTTAGTTATATTTCTATAACAAAAGTTAAAATATTAAAATTAAAATCTTACCAAACTGCACCAAAGCAATCTACAAAAGCTATAGTATTTACACAATCTTTTTTTCTCAGCATTAATCTTACTCCACTTTTATGAGTTATTTCCTTCTGTAATTTTCTAACTTGAGTTTCTTTTAGAGATAATGGTCTTCCATTTTCATCAAGAAATGAATTTTCTACATTTGTCCCTTGCTATAAAAATAAATATATAAATAATAATAATAAAAAAACTCCAGTAATGAAGTTATTATATTTAAATACATAATATTAAAATGCAATTTTATAAAATTAACGTTAAATTCTTTCTACTCGTAATACATAAATTTTAAAGAACTGATTATAAATGTATTATTTTAAATTAGTTCATAGCTTGTAAAATTTTATCAATATCGTTAATCTGCAATAAAAATTTTATAAATTTTATTATGAAACTTTCCTGAAGCAAGTCTGAGGCAAAGTGCAAAAAAAGATCATCTCTATTTCAATTTTAAAAAGGTGTTACTCCTGTCTCCTAACTCTTCAAAAGATGTTACCCTTCCAAAAGCATCACATGTACATGCACGTTTGTAATGTGATTCCACCTTACACTATGATTAGAAATTGGATACAGAGCATGGAGATGAAAGGAAATCATCTGTTATAACATTTTACAATCAAACAAAAAGTAGAGTTGATGTTGTGAACTTGCAAGAACCTAGATGTGTCACACATTTCTAAAAACTTTTGGCACTCACCAAATTTTTTTCTATGCTAAATCATACTGAATAATGAAATAGAAAAGAAAAAAACTAACAAAGAAGAGATTATTAAGAAATTAAGACTATCATTAGTAGAAGAAAACGTAAGTAACAGAGACTACCCCGGGACTTATGTAAACAACTTTGTAAACATCTTGGAGAAACTCAAGAAACACTTCCAAAATGAGTTAAAATAGTTAAGAGATGCTCTGAGTGTCCAAGAAATGTGTATTTGTAAGACTCAAAATATGTACATAAAATGTAATTCACCAACATGTCAAGAACACTCATTCTATATACAACAAGTAAAATGGCAAAACTGTATTTGGGACAAGACTATGTCTCGTAAACAGAATCACTTTGATGCTCAAGGCAGGTCTTGTTCTCATTCTCTTATCTTCTTCAATATCGCTGCTTTTGGGCGTGATTGTTCAAACTTCGCCGGCCACAACCACGAGATCGTCCACGATGCATCTTCGATGAAATTAACTTATCTAATTTCAAAATTTCTCTCCATTGCGTGTCGGCCCAGGTTGAATTTTTGTCGATGTGTAACGAAAAGTTCCCATTTTTGAAAAAAATAATCATGGCTATTGTATCGTCCGAAATTATTTTTTTATTTTGCACATAAAATATACAGTTTAACCCGACTATAACATCATCGAATGTAACGACGACCCTAATATAACGTCAAATTTTTATCGGTCCTACAATTTTACTATACTAGATAATTTTAAAAAAAAGTCCACTTGTAATGACATGAAACCATTTTAACATCATAAAGCACTCCCAAATTTACAAAATTAGATTACAAATTTTATTTAACCTAGAAGAAACTACATGTTCAGTCCTAAGGTCAGAGTTCACTTCTTAGAATGATTGCGGGTGGTACTCTCCCCTACCTGACTTCGGTGGGGTGAGGTGGCTGTTTTGCCTGTTGATAGAAAAGGGTCGCCATTTTGGATTTTATTTTGACTCGATTCTCAGTCCCCCGACTACCTACGAGTCTGGATTTTTTTTATGCGTGAATGATTTGGGCAACTAGTACTCTGTGCCAAATATCAACTCTCGACATGTACTCCTTCATACCTCTATGATGGTAAGAAAATCGGGCAGTACAATTTTATAAACAAGACATAGTCTTGTCAACAAATGCATTGAATTATGCAGCATATCATTTCACCAACACAGACCATAAAAATTAATTCTCCTCTTATTATTTAAATATTTTGTCTTGATTTTACTAATACATATTAAAATTTTATTACAAAAAAGGATATTTTAAAAATCGGTTCTACATACAGTTTCAATTTTCAGTTAGTCGGAAGTAGATAAGTTTTTGTTTGTATCTTTCACAATAGATAATTTAGTTTTAAAAAAATAAATCTTTATTTTAGCTCAGTCTGTACTTAATAACAAAATGATGAAAAACTATTTTAAAATGCATTTTTATTCCGATGATATATTTATGAATAGATAATGTTCAGGGTAAAATTAACCCCACATGATTCAAGGAGTGACTTTTATTCGTCTGGATCGCAGAAGATTAAAATTCCTTGAAAAGTCAGATCACAGAACAACTGGTCTCTCTATTACTAAAATGCAATTACAATTTACAACAGCAAAGCGAGATGTTTTGTTTTTTTTTAAACTCTTTCCACTCTATGGGCACTAAGAGGACCTTTTTCAAGCTCATCATGGGTTCAGTCAGGCCCACAAAGCAACCAGGTGGTGAAAGGATGGAGCCTAACATATCCATGAAAAATTCCTGTGGGGTTGCTTGCCTGAAATCAATCTTAGAATCAAGTGATTTTATTACAAAAAAGAATATAACTGTATGACATTTAGATGGTATAATTTAAAGATTAAAAACGAAAGAAAAAAAAATCCTAAAACCTGCCAAAATGGAAAAAATATTCAGTACAATGCAATTTCAATTTACATAAGTTTTACTGTAGTTACAATTATCATAGTCATTTTATACTCAAGCAATTTGAGTTATTTATAATTATTATTTATATATAAAAATAAATTTTATTTTTGTTATTTATGGAAAATTTTTGTAACTTTTTAACTCAAATATATTATATTCAGAGAAACTTTTTTGTTCATAAAAGTTTGTGTGACAAACTGATTATAATTTGATAACTTTTCCTTTGCATAATCCCTGCTATAGATGCAAAATTTCCAAAAATCAATTAATTCATTATTTTATCTAATTAAAAATGTTCTAATGCTAATCTTCAGCAATTTTTTACTTTATGTTGTTTCTTAATGATATTGAAAACTTTTGAAGTCAATTTATAAACTGATTTCTCATTAGACTTTCAAATAATTTCAAGAAAAAATTGTACCCAATTAATATAATCAAAAATGCAATTTTATAAAATTCTAAAGTTCAGAAGTTGAATAGACAAAACACTATTGTAAAGACAGCTCAGATACAGTGATTTATTAAAATAGTGATAGTATAATACAAAATAGTATAGTATATATATAAAAAAGTATAGTGATAGTATAGTATAAAAAAGTGATTTATTAAAATAGTGATAGTAAAATAGTATATATAAAGTGATCGACAGATACAGTGATTTATTAAAATTACCTATCAGAACAATACATAAAAAAACTGATATAACTATAAAATTATAAATTTAAATTAAAATATAACTTACCATATTTTGGCATTGATTATAAAATAATCCATCATAAGGAGGTGGACCTTCTTCTAATGGTAGTGGAGCTTCTGTCCTAGTACTTTGACTTCTACTTTGTTCTTGATTATGTGCAGATTGGGATGTTCTGTTCAGATTGTTTTGACCCGATTGTCGGTTTTCGGGTAAAGAACCAACAGAAATTCTTCTAGAAGGAGCAATATTATTTGGTGTAAGCGGCACATTTAAAGATGGTTCAGAAACAGACACTGCATCCCTCAATGTTCTGAGTCGCCTTGAAGTCATGTCAGGAGATGGAGTATATTGTGAATGATGGCCAGTAACTTCACTCATGGATGACACAGATGATCTTGCTAAGGGTACAGAACTTTTTGAAGAAACTTCACTTTCAGATCGTCTCTGTTGTACAACAGACGGATTTTCGTAATTAGGATTACGGATACCTCTAGAAGTAAATGTCTGACTAGGTGAAGAAGCATTTACAAAAAATAAGGGCTCGTATAGAGAGTCACTTTCAGAAGTTATAGGAGATGTCGGAAGAGATAATGCTCTATTATTTAACACTGGTAAAGATTCTGAAAAGCAATCATCTTGATTTGAGTCTATTTCTAGATTTTGAACTGCAGCATTTTCATACAAGTTACTAGAGACAAAATCAAAATTAAAAATATTTGAAGTAGATGAAACAGCTGCATTTGAAGCACCTTGTCCTTCTTGGGTTACTACAGTTGGAATTACATTATTTGAATGCGGAGAAGAATTTACTGCAACAGAATTTTCATTTACACTTCTAGTATTAGTTGATTGAACAGGTTCTGAATGTCTTATGTGTTGATAATCTCTCTCATTATGTTGAATTTGATCTAATAAAACAACATGCATTAAAAGAAGTTGATATATAAAAGTAAAATATATCTTATCTGTACAAACATATATTTATAAATAGAATATAAAGTGATCACTCGTTTCTAAATATTTAATAACATTTTACCTTCTGTCTGTTGTGTAGGAGTAAGTTGTTGTTGAGGAATACATTCAAGTTTTGGTGTACCGGGTTCTCTGCTGTATACATTATCCTTTGGCTATATTAATTAATACTACATTAATCAACAAAAGCGTGTTTTATTTCCTCATATTAAAATGCATAAATAATTGTAATACCTCTAAAATTGACATTTCTCTCAATTTAACTTTCAGTGTATCCATCCATTCAATCATCTGCTCTCTAAATTATTAAAGTTATGGAAAAATAAAATATTATAAATCAAATGTTGTTCTATAATTAGAGAAAGTTAGTCTTATCGGAATTACAGTAGAACACATCTATTAGAAAGTCCCTTAATAGTAAGATTTGTTAAAAGCAAGATATTCTAATACACCGAGAAAATCTTGTACATTTTAATGTAAAGTAGTTTGGCTAATAGCAAATTGCATATTGGCAAAATTTTCCTACTAGAAAGCTATTTTCGTATACCATCTATGAACTTTGTCTATTGTCATAACATGCCATTAGGTAAACTCTCTCCTACCTGCCTCCTTTTATTTAATGAAATGGATTACACATCCTACACTTGCTGTGCTGCAAGGACTGCATATTTGACCTCGAGCTGAGAAGATGAAGAATGACAAGCAAAAGGCCAAGACGTGATTTGGATTTAAAACAAAAATATAAAATTGTGCAGTTGCTTAAAAATGGATGGAAGCAAAAAAATGTTGCTGAAAAGTTTGTTGTTTTTTATGCATTAAATACTAAACATGCTAAAATGAAATTGAAAAAGAGTTTGAGCTTGAAAAGACAAAGTCAACATTCATGCGGCACAAACATTTTGACATGGAGAAGGTAGACCAAGTGCTGCTTGAATGATTTCACAATGTACCTGCTGGCTGAGCTGAAATATCTGGACCTTTGCTCCAAGAAAAAACAAAACAATTTGCATGAAAAATGCAGTATAGTGAAGAAAAATTGAGTAAGATCAATATGAATTGAATTAACCATTTCAAATCACAACATGCAACCATTGTAAAGACCTTGCATGGAGAGGCAGCATCAGTTTCAAGCAATGTTGTTGCTGATTGAAAAACCAATATCCTGCTAACAATTTTACACCAGTATAATCTAGCAGACATTTTCAATGCTGATGAGTTTGGGTTATTTTGACAGCTATTACCAAATAAAACTCACAATTTCAAGATGCTATGTGTGCTGGAGTCAAGCTGTTCAAAGAACACATCAGTGTCCTTTGTGGTGCCAGTGTACTTGGTGAAAAACTTTTTTTTACTTGTAAGAAGAAAGAGCAGGATGGTGCGCAAGATATGGTGAGCATATCTCTGTCATGTACGAGACAAATTGATGTTCCTGGATGACTGGAGAGTTGTTCACATACAGAATGAACAAACAGCATGATGACACAAATCAGTGAATGACAGTTGAATTCAGAATAAAATTTAATGAATACTTAGATATTGATGCAAACCTTATCACAGCTGAAATGTGCTCCGAAGAAACAATCCTGTCTGCAGTATGCAAAGATGAAATTCAAGTGATGAAGAAAAAAGATGAAGAAGAGACAATAAATGAAGCTGTGATCATGCCCACCTGTGCCCAAGCATCTGAGGTTTTGGAAACATTGAAAAAGTTTCTCGAATCCCATTATAATGGCTTGACTGCACTTCACTCTTTGTACAACTTTGAAGAATTTTTAATAAATTTGTCCATTGATAAAAAAAAATGCAGACATCAATTACAGATTTTTGTAATAAATTGTAAATAATTAAGAAATTAATAAATAAATACAGTACTGTATTCTGAAGGAAGTTTGTTTATTAGCAAGTTCACCTATTAGCAAAGGTTTTTCATGGAAAAAAGAACTTTCTAATAGATTAATTCTACTGTATAAATAGAGTAATGTAGAATGGAATATTAACAAAACAAATGCTTGCCTAGATGAAGCTGCTATCCGAAGAATTTCAGTACCCAAGGTAATAACAAATTCATGATCATTTTCTTCTTGAGGATAAATTGAAGGAGAAATATGAAGACAATTTATCAGTGAGATACTCATTGTAGGATTATGAGAATATGCACTACGACGATTATCATAGAATTCTAAAAGTGGCTCTTTATCATTATGCACACAAAACACCATCCATTGTTTTTCTGGCTTGGGAATCTGAAAATAGTTATTTAAATCTAGTTTTATTTTAAATAATGTAACAAATATAACATCTACACTAAGTAAGTGTATTCTAAACAAAGCTCTGCACTATGTAGTTTTATTATAGTATTTTTACAATTGGTTTTAAAACTATAGCAATAGCCATGGAAATTGCACCACCTATGGTATATACCAAAAAGCATTCAGCAGATATGCAAAGTAGCATACTTAAGCTGTGAATATGATTTTTTAATGATAACATATGAAAAGAAACCAAATAAGAATGCAATTTATTACATATAACATTGTACTTAAGTACAGTGGTGCCTCGTATAACGTACTTAACCCGTTCCAGGTGCATGTCCGTTAAGTGAAAAGTCCGTTATACGAAACGCATTTTCCCATGGAAATACATGTTAAAACATATAATTCGTTCCGCGGCATAAAATAACCGTACTGTACTATAAAAAAAATGAAAATGGAACAGTCACCAATTATGCCTAGTAGTCAGATGTCGTGAGGAGGAGGTGGAGTAACACTTTCTTTACACATTCATACAGATACAGACTTTTTACACATTGCAGAAGGTCTCTTTTTATTGTTTTTAATCGGAGTCAGATTCAGGAGAGGCTACCAGAGCTTGCAGGGTCATCTCCTCTTGTTCCATCCTTTGATTTTTGGCAGCTGGCTTCTTGAAAAACATGTCCAAGGTGGTCTGTTTCTCTCTCTTCTTCAACACCTGTCAGAAATGATGGGCAAGGGTGTCATTGTAGAGATCATTGATCCTGTTGGCCTCAGCTCTGTTTGGATAATGAGTGTTGGTAAACTCCTGAACCTCTTCCCATTTGACAAGGAAGTTTTTGTCAACTTTCACTCCTTCTGATGATGTCTTGCATTGTTTCAGTTGAAATCACTTTTCTGTTTTTTTAGAAACCATGATTTGCACATGAATAAACTGAAACACTTGAATAAATTGCTAAAATAAATACCTTGCACTGAGGTGATGTACGTAATAAACAAGGGAGCAAGCCGAATCTCAACGGGAGCTCTGTACTTCAGATATACTAATAATATATTCTAATAATACTAATATATTATAAAAATAGCAGATTGTCATTGGCAACGGCAAAAGAGTGGAAACATCATTCGCACTTGTTCGCAGTAAGACCGTTGTTCGCCTCACGTAACTGCTGAATGGAAAGTCTGTTGTTCGAAGCCAGTCCGTTGCTCGAGTCACGTAACGGCCAAACAGAAAGTCCATTGTTCACAGCGTCCATTATTTGAGGCGTACGTTATACGAGGTACCACTGTATATGTTATTTTAAATCACAGTCTCATCAATACTGTTAACAAGAATAGTTACAAGAACTTGTCACTTACAGTTATGGAAGAATAAAAGAAAGTTCACTGTATATGTTGACCTAAATAAATTCACCACATCCAAAAACCTTTGTAACTCCAGTGATATGTGTTTACACACCAGTGAACATTTTCGACCCCATCTGGGTCTTCATCAGGCTATGGTTATATGGAATTTGAATGTATGCAGAATGGAACAACAAAACTAAACGAATGCGATTTAAACTTTAGAAAAAACCAAATTTAAGAATAAAATGGAACATTACCCACATGCTGAAACAACGGTTAAGCACACGCCACTTCACATTTGTGAAACGTTGAAAACATACAAAATATACATAATCCAAACCCAGATGAGGTCGAAAACGTTCACTGGTGTATAAACACACATCACTGGAGTTACAAAGGTTTTTTTGGATGTGGTGAATTGTATTTCCTCCGGTGTTTATGAAGAGGTTCATTTCTTATACCTAAATAAATTAACATAAACTATTATTTTTCATTGAATAGGATTTAATAGTTAAAGTCACCTCAATTCTTAATTAACAGTTTTGCAGCGCTAACATAGTGGGTGAGTTTCTTCAAGTATACCAGCAATGGCTTGCAATCAATGTAAAATTCAAACAATTCTAGAAATTAATTTAGAGCTTTATATATTATTAATACTGAAGTAATTAATTGATTATTATTAAAAAAACCTTGTTCAATAAAATTTGATCAAGAGAAGAAACAACTTATTAATATGCGTGATTAAAACATTGTTAACGATAATATGCAATTTACTGTATAAATTTTAACTTAGGTAATAAGGATTCACATCCTACTGGGAGCCGAATACAGTATATAGACATCGGGAACACCTTGTAACTTCTGCATTCCACCAAGAAGTTGAATTTAGCTCTAGTCCTCGTTAGGACTAGCACAAGTCTTCTATATAAATTAGCCGGCATAGCTTATCGTTCAAACACTGCAAGACTGGAATAAAGTACGTCATAAAAAATGCAAACCTTTGAACCTTACAAATGAAATTTCAGCATAGTTTAATGCAGTGGTTAAAGGTTAAACAAAATGAATCTGATATTAGAATTATTACTTATTCACAAATAATAAATCTACTTCCAATGAAATAAATGATTGTAACTGGAGATAAAATTAAATACCAATTATCTGCATTAATTGATGTTGATGGTTAAATGTCAACTTGTAGTAATTTTTGTTTTTGGCTGTGTCAACTAATAGTCCAAGAACATTGATTCAAGAATTAAAATTTTTTCTTTTTTAATTACTATGTATTTTTTTTTTCAGAAATAAGTTTAAGTTAAATACAGAAAGTTTGTGAAGTGATTATGCTTGAAATTGTTTTTGTCTCAGAATAAATATTTAAGTTATTAGCAGATAGAATGTTTTTTTTTTTTTTCTTAACCTGTCACTTATTCGTGCCTTTACCTTAATATATTTAAAAGATTTCGATCATAGTTTAAATGTATATATTCGAAAACTGCACGTTTGTATTACCACGCGTCATGAGTCCCATAACTTTGTGGCATAATTGTCCTTCAGTTCGGAGTAAACGGAGTAACAATTAGCCAAACCCATCAATAGCCGAGTTGATAAAACTACTGAACATTGGATTCATGGATTCGCGCTCGCCAACGGGAGTGTTACGTCGCATTTTCTGAGTTTTCTTTACGTTTGTAGCATCAAAATAGGGACCAACTTCCCACAGAAAGTCCTCCCGAGAGGCATCGCCCGCGACTTGCGTTGCCATATATAAATAAATAACCATAATAAGAAAAAATATTGCGTTTTCTACCCTACTAGCAATTGCCAAAGAAGTTACGAAAGGAACCAATCCATGACTAATTGTTGAATTATTAGGTGTTCATCACGAGGTCATCAGCTTGAAGAAATGTGAAAATGTGAGAAATATTCACCTTCTTTTAATGGTTATAGCTAAAAAAAGACATCGTAATCTTTTAAAATATATTAGGTGCTTCTAATGGCAATAATCAGAAGAGATTAGGTTAAATTAAAAACGACAAGGCAACCGCGAAGCGAGATAATTCTCTCGGGAGTAAGTTATGATCTAAACCAGATACAAGTTTAGAGTTGTTGGAGACGTCGGCTATTTGTTCTGATAAATTTTCCAAAAGATTAATTAAACTTCAAAACCGATATGAAAGAAAATATAAACAAGGAAATTAGTTTCTAGAAAATGTGAATATTTAACAACTGATGAACGTCGTCAGATTCTAGAAAATATGACTTATTTAATTTAATTACATTATAGTTTAAAAATGAAAGAAATTTATATCAATTTACTCTCTAATTTAACTTTAAAGTATATAACAGTAGAATGACGTTTGAGGACGTCGAGGAGCTCGTGTGGAGTCCGGGANTTTAAAAAATTTTAATGAAGATATTTATCTTAATTATGAAAATATACTAGCATGTTTTTTAATTTTTGGAACCTAACCCTCCTTTTCGTATTAGTTCTTTGTTTCGTATAACACGGATTCGCATAACACAGCAATTTTTTGGAACGTAACTACCGTGTTATACGGGGGTTACCTGTACTATTAAGCTCAGTTAAACAATGCTTAAGGGATGGTTTTAAGTTTTACTTAAAGGGAGCCCAGACCATGCCCTGGGCTCAGTTTCTACAGAACAATACAAATATGAAACATTTTTTAATTATATAAGAAAAATATTATTTCTTATCTGTGTTTATTCTGACTAGGAATAATTCATCCCCTCGCAGAGGAAGAGGATTAAGGGTTAACCCGAAGAATGGCTTCTACTGTACTATTTTAGGTGCGATTTTTTATTTTCAACTACATTTAGTCTTCATTGAGTACGTATTTATTAAATTGAAAACATTTCAGACATTGTTATAAATATTTTTATGTATTTTGATTTTTTAACCAAATGTTCAAACCGTTTTAAATTTGAATTTGATATTGCATATTGGTTCGATTATAGAAAGATTGTAAACGTTCTAAAAAATTGATCAAATTGAAAACAGTTCATTTGATTCTCGGCAATTCTCATCATTCTCGGCAGTAGGTGTTATATAACAATTACTATGGTTGTTGAAATACTGAATATAAATGGTGTTTGCTTGTAAAATCCATGCGGGCGAAGTCACGAATAACGGCTAGTTTTAAATAAATGTATACTATTTATTTAGACAGTTTTTTAAATTTATTTCCAGATGCTCGATGGTTTTAAGTTTTACTTAAAGTACTTGGTCACCAGTGGCAGAGTAACTCAAAACCACTGAACATTGATAGTTGGTTGTAGGTTTGCACCTGACCAATAAGATGGCCACAGAAGTTTTCCCGGGTCTTCTCCGTTTGTCCAATTGCTTAATAGGGCTAGTTTCTTATTGAAAATCCTCCTTGGCAGATTGCAGGAACGTTGCACTGCCTTATCCCAAAGAATCAAAATCAAACTGATTACACTTATCATTTTGCACCATTGCAAAATAACAACACTTTACATTACGATAATATATTACGCAAATAATAATATGAAATTTATGAATAACTGTTTTGTTTCACTTTTGGAACTATTTTATTGTTTTATATGAAAATATTACATTCTGCAATTTTGAAAAACAACGTGATCCAATTGTAGTTAGCTAATAATATGAT